TCAAATTCACTGACACTTCCGTCGCTATATTCCAGAAACGAACAGTCAAAATTGAAAAAAAATCACTAAATCGGGTAGCGAACGCCCTAGCCGACGAGGATTATCGAAAAATTTCTAATCCCTAATCCAAATATTGCAAATAGAAGCACCGACAGTTAATTGCGTCGCACGATTTCAAATTCACTGACACTTCCGTCGCTATATTCCAGAAACGAACAGTCAAAATTGAAAAAAAATCACTAAATCGGGTAGCGAACGCCCTAGCCGACGAGGATTATCGAAAAATTTCTAATCCCTAATCCAAATATTGCAAATAGAAGCACCGACAGTTAATTGCGTCGCACGATTTCAAATTCACTGACACTTCCGTCGCTATATTCCAGAAACGAACAGTCAAAATTGAAAAAAAATCACTAAATCGGGTAGCGAACGCCCTAGCCGACGAGGATTATCGAAAAATTTCTAATCCCTAATCCAAATATTGCAAATAGAAGCACCGACAGTTAATTGCGTCGCACGATTTCAAATTCACTGACACTTCCGTCGCTATATTCCAGAAACGAACAGTCAAAATTGAAAAAAAATCACTAAATCGGGTAGCGAACGCCCTAGCCGACGAGGATTATCGAAAAATTTCTAATCCCTAATCCAAATATTGCAAATAGAAGCACCGACAGTTAATTGCGTCGCACGATTTCAAATTCACTGACACTTCCGTCGCTATATCACAGAAAAGAACAATCAAAATCGAAAAAAATCGATAATCCAGATAGCGAACGCTCCAGCCGACGTGGATTACCGGATAATTTCTAATCCCTAATCCAAGTTTCGGAAATAGAACCACTGAGATCGAATTGCGTTGCTCGATTTTACATTCACTTGGACTGTCAGCACTAGACTCGAGAAAGAAGTTTTGAAATTGAAAAAAAATTCATCGTTTAGATGGAAAAAATCCTACTGTAACAGGATAGACCAAAAGTTTCTAAGCCACACTTGAAATTTAAGATTGCGAAAAAAGAATATTTAAATTCGTATCACGCTCTCAGAACCACTTGTATTTTCGATACTCTATGTTGAAAAAGAGTGGTCTTAATGGATAGGAAATTGGTACTGATTAGACAACAGCCTATGCGGAGCTAATGAACCGAACAATGAGAATCTGCGAACGAGATTTAAATGATAAGCGATAATCTGCAGCCTCGCAGCACGTTTTAATGACCATTTGTATTTCCTTCACTATATTTCATAATTGAACCATGATAATCGAAGAAAAATTAGGAAAATCACTAAAATACTGCCTATTCGGAGCAATGTTTACCAAATGTCTTAATGGACGATCGAAACTTATAATCTACGTTGAATGATATGTTCCTATGCTGTTTCTAATATACGAGTCCCACTCACACCACTTTATTCCGCACGTATATCGCTTTACGATTTACACTCACACCACTTTATTTCACAGATGTATCGTTATATGTTTTCCACTATGTAACTTCTCTTCTTACCACGTGTGGTATATTAGCACCGAACACATGTTCACAGTTAGATATCCTGATCTTGATAAATTTGTCACAATTCCTTAAACTTGTTCTGTGGCCTATTGGTAAATATTCCGACAATGTTGCGCACGTAACCTACAGTTCCGATGTTTCGAAATAACAACTGACACTGAACATTATTGCTCCTGAGTAAATATTTCACTTGTTGTAACAATTAAAACGTCTATCAGTAATAACATGACTTCACGAAACGTTTCGTCGAGACATAGAAAGCTTCTCTTTTACGCGCGAAAATATTCTGCCATTGTTACCGGTACGTTCGTTGCGGCATCGACTAGAAGGTGGCGACTGTTGTCAAGCTATGCATTGTTGACGCGGGAAAATACTTTTTATTTGAAGTAGCCATGTACTGAAGTATCGACGTAGATTATTAAACGATGTTTCTTATGTTTATTAATGTCAATGAAACAAATACAATTATATTTCTGTTACGAAAATGATAAATTAAAGAATGCTTAATTTCCACTACAAAAACGTTGTAAATTAATCAAATGAATTATAAAATTTATAGTAAAAATATAATATATAGTAATATATATTATATATTAGTTACAAAATTTGGTACATGAGCATTATGACAACCTTTATTGAACATGCTTTCAAGAAATTTTATAAATGCACGATGAAAAACGCGTGGAAGCAGTCTCAGATGCATAATATGTATATATAGGTTATGTAAATTCGTAAAATGTGTTAAAAACGCGAATTTTTGCTTATTTTAGAATGAGTTATGGGTATGGGTTATACAAGATCCCTTTGGTTAATAATAATTTTAGCTACTGTTCACTTTTTTTAACTTTAAAAAGTTGTTTCAAACACATATACGTTAAAAAATGTTGTTACGCGGAAGAAAATGGCGTTTTTACATGAAAAAATAATTGTACATATGTAAATTACTGTAACTGTTATTGTTGCAAATTATACAAAACTTATATTTGCAAGAATCTATGTAATAACTATTATAAAAGGCTCCCGAATCTTTGAAAAATCGGTTGAGCTCGAGAACTTCCGTTTGACCTCGGTAAGGATACCCTCGGTAAGGATACCCTCGGTTCATATAGGCACTTGGAGGTCACATTACACGTCAGTTGCTCTGCGATCGTCGTAACGTGTACATCAAAACTTGAACCGACTAAATAAACTTATTTAATTATTTTTCACTTTCAATTATTTCTTTAATTTATTTATTTATCATTCATTCTTAATAATTTATTTAATTTAATTATTTATTTTGCACTTTTAATAATTTATTTAATTTATTTATTTATCATTCACTTTTAATAATTTATTTAACTTAATTATTTATTTTTTACTTTTAATAAGTTAATTAATTAATTTATTTACTTTTATTTTTTCATAATTCATTTACTTAATTCATTTACTTCAATTTTTAATTATTCATTTAATTATTTCATTCATTTTTTCTACATAATACTAAAATGAGGGTTCTATATTTCATCCTTTTAATTTCATTAGTGTTAGAAGACATTAAATATTTTTATAAGAACTAAATTTTTATCCTAATTCAACTAAATCGTTTACGTTCGTGTGCGTTTACGCGCGATATTTTTCCTCGATAACGGTCGAAACTAGTTCGGTTGTGTCCGCGATATCGCGAGTGTCCTGTGAAAGTGTTTCAAGAAAAGAAGAAGGAATTACAACCAATGTTGACATCGCTGCATTGGCAAGGGAAGGACATACTGACTTTGGTGCCAGGACGAAGGCGACAGTCAATCCAGGGCTGCTTTGATATGGAGAAGATCAACGATCGGTGAGTCGCATGTTTACGATTCCTCTGGTTACCCATCATGTCGTAGGACGAATGGTCCGAAACGACACGGGTGACTGGTTGTATTTTATATTATTCTTATAGCGAGCATAGTGTCCACGAATGCTAATGTACTTCTATACAATAGCATTCGTGCAATATATATTTCTGTGATGTATTTGTTAGATCAGGTTAGGGTTTTCTTGTACATCGCGTATTAGAATCTCGGTTGAAAAATTTCCAGTTTCTATTCTAAATAGAAATTTCGAAATTTTTTGTTCATTTCGTTCATTATCATAGTTATCTCACGGGATTTTTACGGAATACAAGTACAAGAAAGCATTCCCCTCTGAGAAATTTCCAAAATCAAAGTAATAATTCGAATGGTTTTAAATTATTAGAGATGTTGCTTTGATTTTGGAATTTCTTGTATGTTTAATGAAATACAGTTTCCCCATTTCATTTCTTTTTTTTATTTTTTTATTTTTTTTTTTTGTTAATACATTCTTCTTTCTTTCAATTGAAAAGTAGAGTCACCCCAACACCTTAGCTATCTCTAATCCCGATTTTTAATTAGGATTTTCAGCAACATAAGAATGCTTAATATTATTTTTAATATTAGAGTTGTCACTATGCTCGCTACTTTGTTTCGTTATATCTTGCTGGAATATTGTATTTTTGCACATTTGTGCAGTATTACTGTGCATTCTGTGCATACTGTGCATACTGTATGCACATTGTAATCGAGGATTCGTCGAAACGCCTTAAAATTCGAAATATCGCGATCATGAATTAAAAATTATCCCCTTTTCATATAATATAGAAAAAACTAGAGTCACGTAAAATATAGCGCCCTATGTGGCTGCTCGCGTTTTCCACTATTTTTGCAACTTGTAAAACGCCATAAGTGGCAACGTGTGTCCCGTATTTAAAAAATTATTTCGTATTTCGTTGCACCATAATCTATTCTTCCTCTCATCTTTTATTTCGGGTCTCATTATTAATTCTTCTTCCTTTGTTGTAGATGTTCAACATCCTATATTTTGTAATTTTCTAAGTAACTTATTTTGTATTATTTTTATATTATTTTTGTATTTTTGTATTATATTTTGTACTGCTTTTATAAATTATTTCCTGTAATTTCCTGTAATTTTCTATAATTTTCTGTAATCATTTATACTATATTTTAATAATGTGTTTAGGCATGGGTCTCGATTACGTGGCCACCTCCACGTGGTGAGACCTGGTAATTGGCATCGTTTGTCAAAGATGTATGTTCAAATCAGTCTAAAAGTATTTTGCCTCATAATTTTCGGTATCTTTTATATCTTCATCTTTGCAAACGATGCCAAGCTAAGTGCTACGTAGTAGGTTTGAGTTAGATGATGCTTATTTACATAGCAATTTAAATTTATTTCTTTTTTTAGCTTGGCCAAGAAAACGAGCAAGGACAGTGATCTACTAATTAATAAGTAATATTAATCAATTAATGTACGTTAATATACTGTTCTTCCTATTCGTAAGCACAGATTGGATCAATCTGTGGTATGATTCCTAAGAAATAGCATAAATATGACAAATGGAACGATGGGCTTGATAGATTGCATGCTTACAATGATTTCCCATTTCTTAGAGAAACTTCACAATGCGATACTTTTCTAAGACCTTACCTTTCTCTTTGACCGAGCCATTCTCTGATCTCTGACGTTTTCGGCTTCTCCTGGTGGTCTCTTACCCCACACCATGACTGCGATGCTGGTGTACGTGAAGACTAGGACCGATATCGGTATCACGTACTGCAGAACCAGTAACGCAATCGAATAGTAATATCTGCAACACACGGTCACCAGGGTGAATAGAAAGCCGATTTCGCGTGGTCGCAAGTTCAGGAGTTATCATTCGTCCATAAAATTGACTGGTTGAACACAAATTGCTCTCGATGGAGGTTTCAAGAGAAATTAAAACACGCTAAATTTCTGAAATTTCTGGTTGAATTCGTTTAGATTAGGAAAAAGGGAAAAATCGAGAAATTTTAAGTGTAGAATTAGCATAAAAGAATAATACGTCCATTTTGTTGGAATGAATTATTTTTTCCTTCCTTGGAGTAGATTGAAATAATTGTACTCTTTTATAATTTAGGTTTAAACGAGGAGCATTAATAATTCATGGTTACTATTTATGGAGAATTTTTATTTTTACACGAATAAAGATATAAAAATCCGAACTTTTCCATTTTCAATTCCAACCTTTATTTTTAAAAATATTCCTAAAGGCTTCAGAAATATATTCATACATAGTTTGGATCATGGAACATGTATTTAATGCATATAGCATAAAATAACATTCACATTTTTCCGGATTAATTATGATAAAATTACGAGCTCGATCTAAAAGTTCAATTTTTCGTTATTTTGTCAAAAATATTTTTATTCTACTGTGATATAAAGAAATACGATTAAATTAAAATTCTTTCAGATTTCTCAATTAGAGCAAATTAGAAATACGTGTTAAATAATATAAGATGAATATATAATTACTTGTTCTCCATCGATGGCCAGTTTTCCTGGCAAATATACTGGTTGCATCTTTCATACTTCGCCATTGGTTGAGAAAGTCCCGAAACAATAGCAATAGGGAGCGAAATCACCATAGCAATCACCCAAACAGCGAGTATCAGAAGCTGAGCTTGCCATTTGCTCAATCTTGGCTTCAAGGGCGACATGATGGCTATGTAACGATCTATACTGATCGCTACGAGGGTGTACGCGCTCACCAATACCGATACAGCCTGAAAATAAGTATTTTCTTTTATATTTTATTCCAACGTGTGTATTTTATTTGTCAAAACTTTAGGATTCGAATACTTTCGCAAGCGACTGTATAGGAAATAGCCGTAAGGACGAACCTTACTGCTATTTCGAGTTAAAGTAGTAACATAGACTTCGCGTAAAAAATCCACTTTAGATGCTAAACCGTGAAAGAGAGCGATGCGATTCTTTCTTGAAACCATTTTCTCCCAACCTAAAGTAGCAATCAAAATCAGGATATTATTTTTGTCCTCATAATATTACCTACAATCCAATTTAAAAAGCCGATGGATAAATCTCTTGACGATCGTATTTATGTTAACACGGTTTTGATTATACTATTCTTTCCCCTTTAAGTTTTAACGATCGGAATAATTATATTCCACAGGATAGTCGACAGGATGGCCAACAGGACCACAGGATGCGATTCAAACATCAAAGTTTCAGAAAATTCATAGAAATTAATTTTACTAACAATACTTAAATTACTTATATTAAAATTATTATTTATTGACATAAAATAAAAATTTCCAAAAACACGTATCCCATATTTTGACTCATAGATCACGTACATTCATTTACATGAATATGAACTAACATTTAGTATGATAAATGATTTAAAAAATGTAGAATTTTTAATATATTATTGAAATAAATTAATTTTTTATAATTAAAATTATAATTAAAAATTTGGCTGTAACCACCTCGGTACTAGAGATATTCGAGAAAATATTCTTTCAACCCCTACATTCGAGAGCTGATTTCATCCCTGCAATATGAACAATAGCAGATAAGAAGAATACCTGTAGAATCATTTTTTGAGAACTATCTTTCATATAAATTTCATCAAAACTGGTGTGTACGGCTCGAATATTATTATTAAAAGTAAAATGATGAAATTCAATAATAATAACCATAATTAATTCCTTTCTTTAATTTCTGTAAATTCATTTAGGAAAGAATAAATGCAAAACCTAAACTTTGAAAGATACGTATATTATACGATTTGTTTTCCGTTTGCAAACATTTTTGTTATTGGTGGATTCTTTTGTTCTTGCATGAGCTTTTCTCCACTGTTATGGGATAATGTGCTGACATAGAAATCTAGGAAATCCAGTGAGAAATCCGTCTGGCTTTTATCCGACTGTGAGCTCCATTGTCCATATCCGTTGTAATCTTCTGGATTTGTGTGGTGATTTCCATTTTACATAAAATTTCCTTTTTCCGTGTTAACATGGCTCTTTATTCACCGAGTTTATGCAAAGCCGAATGCATTCGAATTTTCTAAGCGATCAACTTCTTTGTAACTCTGAGATGTACAAATGGCGACATGCTTTAGTACGGTAGATCAGCACGGTGTGGTGCTAGTGTAGCCAGAACAAATCCTGCAGCGAGTACCCATATCTTTCTATGATTTCTCTTGTCTATTAAATTTGGTTCATAGTTGATATTCGCGTTGTAAGTAATTATTTCTTTATTTTTATATTAGGCGAACCCAAATACGCTATATTTAAATATAGCGTCATACGCAACGATAATTTAGGTTTCATACACATACTATAAATTTATTAATTCCCATAATCACTTACTAAAACGATAATGAGAAAGAAATTCGGGAATTTGATGAAATTTTCACAATAATTTGCTAAAAATTTGGTAAAAATTTGGTAAAATCAGGGTCAAAGAAGATCTCTGTCATTGGAACAAACTCTACTGATCTCGGAGCATCTTGATTTCGACTCTGAAAGGTGTGAGGCGCCACCCTTGAATGGCAACGAGTCCCTTTGTCAGTCGAAGCTTTGGTGTTCGCGATGTCACGATTCGTTGAGAAATCAAGGGCCACCGACGAATTTCGAGGCTGAAGTTCTAGCAAAGGGAATTTCTGTCACTGTTATACCTTAACACGTTGACACGGATATCGTGGCGAATGTAGAGTATGATGGTCGGAGACTGCTGGAATTCGGGCCAGGAACGAGAGGATTTTATGCGTACCGTGGCTGACAATGAATACGAAATGAAACGCATAGTCGAGCTCGATCGTGTTATTTCGAACAATTGATCTACTCTAATCGATTACGTATGTCTTCTAATTTACTTGGAGTGGGTTAGGTATGGACACACGGTTATACGAAATCACGAGCTCTATTGGAAATTCGATAATTGTGTAAATTCAGCAATTATTCTGTCACGAGATGAATTTTTATGTAATTCTTTTTTATTTGTTATCTATATACTTTCTTGTATTACCATATATTACGCGACTTTTATTTATTATGTTTGATAATGATAAATAATATTATAATATATATGATGGTGATAATTTAATAGTGTAATAATTATAGTTGCAGATATATATATATTTAAATACGTGTAGAACTCACATATTTAACACATAATTCGTTTTTAATGTAGAACGAGTGAATCGTATTCAAACAAGTGGCACGAGCAACAGGCGATCGTCTTCGTCAATATTTCTTGACTATATTGAGATTTTTTGATGAACTATCCTTTTGTGATACTGTGCACGCGTTTCTAAAAATTTCCAAATTTCAGCTATATGTTACTGTGTTTTGCCACGTTCTTCATCATTTCACTGAAATTTCCCTTACTCGCTGTTCGACGTCCCATTTGTTACACCAATTACTCCTATTTTTGGAACCATTTTTTTCTTAAAATTCCTATAAGTATATATTACTTAAAATTCGTTTATTTCGGAGTTTACTTGTTAATAATACTATAAGGTATTTCAATATTCTAATTATTTTATGGAATCTTCATTATTAGAATGTTATACTAAATGGAGATTTATTAATTTAATAGAATATAGTTTAATAATTATTTTTTCTCGGAACTATAAAATAATCATTATAAATATACACGTTTTCAAGTACATAGAGATGGACGAAATCAAAAGAATTTTTAAAAAATTTGCTTTTAATTTAAAGTCAATATCACTTTCATTATTTCAGATAATGATACATTTTAATTACGATTAATTCATCGCGTTTCAATCGTAGATAGAGTCGAGTACAGAAAACTTATGTCTCTTCCATTCGTTTTTACAGAATTATTACAAAACACGTTTTCGATACCTGTACCCTAAGTCCCATATGTTACAGATCAACCAAAATATAGAGATCAAAAACCTCAGCAAGACCCATAATCAAAGGTAATTAATGACTTGAATGAAAGGGAATTAATAACCTGAATCTCTAGAACGGCTAAAAACAGGAAACACCTGGACCAAACGATCTTCTTCCCCTATTAATTCGGATACTCGAGATTTCACGGTAATATTAACACCGTGATATTCTCCATTCACCCCGTGCCATCGGTTTTCTATAAATCTCACGTGTCGTTCTGTCTTCCCATAAACCATCGCCCTCTTCGTTATGGATGTAATATCGTTCGGTAGAACGTCATAGAGAGTCGTTTAAAGTTATTCTCTTCCTCCAGCACGTTTGCCCCTTTTCTCGTTAATTCCATCATCAGTGCCGTATCAAGGATAGGAAAATCAAAGAGCCAATTCCCGATAGTATCCCCGAAAGCCGACGGAAGCGGGGAGAAAAGAAATTAGAACAATAAAATACTTAATGATCTGCCAGTTACATTGTTGCAAAGGATCTCAGCGCGATTTATTAAAATCGACACGTCCACCGTGACTTCCCGTTTGATTAATGAGAGGTCGGTATTAAATGGTCAAGAGCTTATACGCGAACACCCTTGTTTTTCAACAGCCACCGCTGTACCTAGGCTTTTCGGCTAATAAATCGTTAGCACACCCCCGAGTGCTGAGTAATTACGCTTGTTAGTGACGTTACGGTAACTGGAAATGCAGCTGTTCCAGCTTTGACAACGGGATGACCGCATTTGTCTAATTTCGTTCGAGTATCGGCGATAGTGATCGTGAATTCATAGCGATTTTTCGATAAAAGTTGGTCACAGGATACTGATATGGAAAGGTATCTTCAGGGACGAGAAAAATTGCGGACACCACAAAATTGTGGAAAAAGTGTGCAATGATTAGAATTAAAATTGGTAATTGTTTGTTTGTTATAAATATAAATTATTTTTTAAATTATCGGAAACTTTCAGAAAGTGGAAATAATAGTATTGTTTGCGTCTTGATTGTTTTATGCGGATGTAGCTATTTTTGTAGAAACTATTATCAAGATAAGTGAATTAAGAGGAAAAAGATCCGATGCGAAGGTTCCAACAAGAATAATTACTTATTTGTAACATAATCGATAAAAGTTGGGATATTATAAATGTTTCTGTGAGTTTTAAGTAGAGAACGTTTATATATTTCGAATCAAAACCTTAATTAGCACTGCTGATAATTAAATGAACTCATGCATGGTCGATACGTGTCAGAACCAGACATGGAATAGGGAAGCTAAGATGTAATACTTCACGGAACTGTTTTACAAAGGTCTGGCCTCAAGGCTGAATTTATGAAGTTAGAAATAAGTCAACTTGCGTGAAAGCTGAAAATCACGAGTGTTCTCTTTGGAGCACAGAAATAAACGAAGAGTAAGAAATACGACGTGGAACATCCGATCTCTTGATGTTTAAAATAAATTTTACATCTCATAGAGCTAACAAATATCTTCCTTATATACTCTTCTAACTCTCACAATTTAAGAAATAATAAAACACCAAACTTCATCAAAGAACTAAGTCCTTCACCAGTTATCCTAACCTAACTACTAAATAAACGCGAATTAATCGGTAAATATCTTGAAGAAAGAGGAATCTTTATTTAATCATTCTTATTATGCTACCAAGAAATATTTTCCTTATGCAAATTTTTAATCTACATGATTTAAGGAATAATAAAAGAATTAACTTCCTCAAAGAACTGACTTTTTCACTAGATATCCTAACCTAACTACTAGATAAACGAGAATCAATCGATAAATAACTCGCAGAAAGAGGAATCTTTAATTAATAATTCTTGGTATACAATCAAGAAATATTTTCCTTATGCAAATTTTTAACCCACATGATGTAAGGAATAATAAAAAAATTAACTTCGTCAAAGAACTGACTTTTTCATTAGATACCCTAACCTAATTACTAAATAAACGAGAATTAATCGATAAATACCTTGCAGAAAGAGGAATCTTTAATTAATCATTCTTACTGTATCATCCAGAAATATTTTCCTTATACAAATTTTTAACCTCACTTTTTTTAAATTTTCCTTAATGAAAAATTTAAGGAATAATAAAAAAATGAACTTCGTCAAAGCTCTGTCTCTTTTACCAGCTAACCTAATGTAACTACTAAATAAACGCGAATTAATCGATAAATATTTTACAGAAATGCGCATTTTCAATTAGCCACACTTATTATTCCTCTCCACTTCAACACCACCACAGTTCCCAACTATCTACCCTCCCTAAAGACACTGTAACTTTTCCATTATGCTGCCTGCATCCCTTTCTTCCCCAACTCACGAGTAGACGGAGACCATTAGACGCACCTGCAAATAAATAAAAGTAGAGCAAAGTACTGAGCCGAATGGCCAATACTGTAGTATTAGCGTGCTGATGGAGCTGGTTGGTACGCAGAAAAGAGCTATCAGGATGTCCCCGAGGGCCAAGTTCACGATGAAGAAGTTCGTGACGGTTTTCATTCGGGGACTGCTATGCACAACGTAGCATACCAGCCCGTTTCCGGTTAACGCGACCACGAAAATGGTGCCATACAGAAGGTATATGATGCTACGAAACCAGCTAGTCGAGATGATGCTGTCGGAATCCAAGAAATAGTCGCAGTCCTCTGTGCTCGTCAGGTTCCAGGACTCGGAGTCTTGCAGACTCTCCAATGAGAGATTCGCCTGGCTTTCAGCATTCATCGCGACTGGCCTTTATGGAACATCCTAACCTGGAAATAGAACATTTGGAGGTTAGGATACGATTTATGACATGGTGGATTGAAACGACCGATCTTGTTAGTAGCGAGGATGCGTGAATTTTTATGTGAATGTTTTGGGATTATGTGTAATTATGGCACTGAGGAGAATAGATGCTTTCTGTTGATTAAATAAATTATTTGTATAATAAATGTATTTTTGAATACAGTGTTGGGTAGAAGTAGTTTAGTAGCTTGGAAGAATTGTTTATAATGATTGTACATAGTAATAATAATATATAGTAACAATGATAAAAATGTGTAATAAAAGTAGCAATAATTTATAATAATAGTTTGCCTAATATTTAATAATTTATTTATCTGAAGAATTAAAGAAGTTTTATTTGGGTAATCTAGTTGCATAGAAAATTTTAATTTAAATAATAAATAATATTAGATTTATAGTAGCAATAATTTTATAATAATAGTTTGCGTAATATATAATAATTTATTTATATGAAGAATAAAGAAGTTTTCTTTAGGTAATCTAGTTGCATAGAAAATGTTAATTTAAATAATAAATAATATTAGATTTATAGTAGCAATAATTTTGTAATAATAGTTTGCGTAATATTTAATAATTTATTTATCTGAAGAATTAAAGAAGTTTTATTTGGGTAATCTAGTTGAATTGAAAATGTTAATTTGAATAATAAATAATATTAGATTTATAGTATGATTGAACGATAATCATTGCAATAAACATTCTCTATAGTACCGAATAAATGAAGTTATACGAATAATTTGGAAAGTGAAATTATTGAGATTGTATGATAGAGGAAGCTTGAAAAATTTGATCAGCTATTTTTATGCCGAATGATTTTTATTCCTCGATATTCCTCTTTTCGAATTATCGGAAAGAACAATGGCAACCACTACGACGAACACTCTCTATACCGTGTACACCATCTGTTGCTTTCGTGAATTACGAATTGCAATATTTCCATTCCACAACACTTGTCTTATCTATACTTAACCACCGGAGAACCGAATATCTATTAAGTTTCAGAGGTCACGTTAATCGACCAAGATTTGACAAATTGTCCCGATAAGCACGGAAGTAATTAGAGGAGTCTGGATAATTAAGTATTCTTCATAGGTCTCGTTCGATGAAAATCAATATTGACAGAAAACGAGTCGTGAAGTTGTCAAACCTGTCATATTACGCGAATTTTCAGCTGCTTGACACTCCAGATATAAGCAACAGTACTCGAGGTCTTGAGATTGTTGCGGTCGCCGTATCGGAAACCAAAGTGAATATGGTTAACAGGATTCACAGTTCGGCAGTCTATTACGGTAACTAATGGAACAGTTATGTCTGAATATATTACACGAAAAACTGTCCAATCTTCCCGTAATCGTATTTGTAAGTGTTCAAACTTCGCTATGGTTCCATTGGAATTTATTGCTATTTGCTATTGAAGCCATTGAATTTAATTGGGATTCATCGAATGCACAAAATGAACCTTCCCACATGAGATGTAAGCTCTTTCAGCTCCTAATTATTATTAGAAATTATTATTATTAATTAATTATCATATAATTATTTGTTATAATTATTATTAATTATTATATTTATTATTAACATATTATTAATTAATTAATATTATTAATAATAGAGTTTGCTAATTACTTTATGTCCATATGCGTGGAAGCTTTAACACTAGAACTACCGATCTTTAATGGGTACCTAGCTATAACGTGCACAGGTTATAGTAATTTCAGCGATACGACGAATATGAGTGAATATATTGATTACAGTTCTTTCTTAATACGAGTTGATACTAATTTTATTTTCAAAACAGGTGTATGTGTTCGGTGATTGCAAAAAGGAAAATTCTGGGGCCAATCATTTTGACTGGGTTGATAGTTCTAGTGTTAAACGAGGTGTTCGAAGAAGAAAATCTTGGGTTGATAAATTGGAATTAAATTAGATTATAATTTATATAATAATTTATATAAATGACGAAAAAAGGAAGAAAAAAGATTCATGGAACACCCTAATATGCACGAAATGTGAATCATTGAGAAAAATAGCGAATTGTGCACTCTTCTGTAAAATGGTAAGATTAAAGTTCATTTTTTCACGAAATGTATTTTGCAGTAAAGCAAAATGTACGAAGCCTTTGAGTTAGAATCGTTAATTCGTGGAATATTTTATCACTATTCACGATAGAGTATCATACGTTTAATAATCTTTTTAAATTTTATTAGTATCTCGAATGGGATCGAATGCTTAATGGATTCGAGAGAAATAAGAGTAGTAATGAAAAGAGGAACGAATAGCCAAACAGAATCGTGATACTGGACGAATATAGGCGATAAGTCTGCAACTTTGACGTCAAAGTACCAGAGCTTAAATGTTAATTAAATTGAAACGGTCGTACTCAGCTTTCCCAGGCCCGTTTTTCCATGGTTAATAGGAAACCCCACATTTTTCTTTCATTATAAATTGAACGTGAATTTCTTTAAATTTTCCCTTTTTTAACGAATTTTTAATTAATACATTCGCAGCCATTGCCTCGAATTCGCGTTGTATTTAATTTTGCTTTTCCTTCTTACTGACGTAATCTCGAAAAATAATTTTTTATAAATTCGATATTTAAAAAAATTATCTACAATTCTTATTTTTGTCTTAATAATAAAATTTTGTCTTCAATGAATAATTTTTTAAAAGTTTGACACCTTAATGGAAATTTTACAATTCTCATTCCCATCTCGACAACAGAATTTTTACATTTGAACCGGCTTTTCGAACTTAGAAATGCGAAGGAATTAGAAATAGGTTTCGCGAAACGTGGAAATGTCGAAACCACGCGAGATCCAAAAAAGTCTCGGGTTCCCAGAATACGAAACTCTCCCTATTTTCCGCGGCCCGTCATTCTCTAGACTTTCCTTCAAATTTTCGATTTGAAATTTCACCCGAACGAGATGCGGAATTCACGGGTAAAGGGAAAAATATCTCCTGTTTGTCTTTTTCGTTCGTTCCTTGTATCGTAACGTTGTCACGTATTCGACGTTCTCATTAAAAACTGTTGGTGACAATTAAAATATCCATTAAAATGTTTTACATTCACAAGGAAGATTTTACTTGTGCCCGACCGCATTTACTCGCATATTTACGTTTATTGGAAAAATCTCGTTACCAATGGAGATGGTTTAATCGAACGAATTTCGAGCCATTGCTTAATCGCGTGATTCGTCGTAGTAATTAAAGTGCGAGGTATTGGGTATAAATAATTCGATTCGAGTGTGATTTAAATATCCTCGTTGATGGCAGAAATCGTATTCGGGTGTGGTCTATTATCTACTTCCGGTCAGTCCTGCATTTTTGTGGCTTGCACTCGTTCAGATTGCAAAACATTGCAAGATATTTCGAGGGTTCGTTAGTTGATAATTATTTGCTAATGGATTTTAAATTAATAATTCAGGACGAATTATACAGGATTAAGTCGATAATCACTTCGATAAATATTCATAATTTCTTGAAATATTTATTTAGCCAACCAAGGATATTTGATGTAGAGCAATGGTTGTCGATTCTTATCATGACAGAAGGAAGCTATATCACCTATAGTTTATAAGAAATATACGAGTCATATGCTGTACTGTATTTATAATTTATCGAAGCATTTATTTAATGGACCAAGGTTTGGCAGATTTTCTACTGATGTGGAAGTATACATTTATGTAAATATATATAAATATAGGTATTTATATACGTGAATGTATTTTATTTATTACTTAATTATTATTTTATGACAATTTTATTAAATAATTATTAGAATTTTAAAGGTAATTTATTAAATCTGGTGATTTAGCAAAATTTTTATAATAGTTATCTTAATCTTTGATATGTCAATGCTTTCTGTTAATTGCTAATAAATTTGATTGAAGGTTCGTGAGTTTCAAATCCTTCCTAAGAGATAAATTAAATGTATAGAAGTTTCAAATTTAATTTTCTAACCACAATTTAGTTATCACGTTGGTTTCAACTGTCAGAAGTGTAAACTGTGTTTTAGAAATGGTTAGATAAAATGAGAATTGTAGAAAATCAAAGCATTATAGCCAAAATACAGTTACTACAATTTAGATTTATTTACATTAATTTCCATAAATAAATAATAATCTTTATCAGTTGTTTAATTCTCTATAACGAAAATTTTATTTTTATATGAGAAAAATAATTACGATTTTTTTAGAATTTTTTATTTTGTTTTCAGAGGTCAGGATAAAATAATTGTTATAAATTAATTATTTCTCCTCAATGCAGTAAGTAATAATAAAATACTAAAATGGGAAATGAGATTCAAAGAAATATGGATACACGGATGTGTAACTTTCTAGTCACGTGTTTTTATAGAGAATACAATTTTTTATTTCTGACGATTGTTTCGTGTATTAATCCCATGGCGTGAAATAGTACGTCGCGTGTTTCCCATGTCAAAAAGAACAGTGACGAGCCACGGATATCCAACACCAACGGAGTAACTATCTCCATTCATGCCCAAAAAGTATTCTGATTTCACAATTTTGATTTTAACTTCTACTTACTTTCAATTTTTTGCCCTCAGCTCCAAATTTTTTAATTTAAAATAATTCAATTTCTAATTTTTTCATTTTTGCATTTAAAATTTAAAACTTTTATTAGTAATATTAGTGTTTTTAAACCAACTTCTTATCATTTACACCTATTCTTTCTTCCTTATCATTTCACCTATTATCTCTAAATTAAAAAGTCAAAGAGTTAATACTAAAAATTATTAACTCGACAATTATTATTCCTTATAATTTTAATAATACTTAATAGTAATTATTACCTATCAATTAACTATTAATTGGCCAGCAATTAACTCGACTTAACTATCAATTAACCCGAATGATAATTTTTCCTAATTAATTGCTATACCTACCTGTCAACGTATTCAATTACCAGACCATATT